GATATGGGTATTGTATGTGTTTATTGCTGTTGGGGTGTAATTGATCCAAGGCCTTCTCAGTGGACAGAACTAGGTAAAGTATGTAGATGCATACACATGTATGCATAATAGTATATTTACATTTCTTTTTTTGTAATTTTAAATGATGAATTCACTTTCAAAATCCAATTCCAGCCCAACCTCAGACTTCATCCTAGTTTTCTCCTTTTCTATATTTATAATCCCCTTCTCTGACAGTGAGAAACCTGGCTTCCATTATGACTAGTATAGTCACTTTATTTGATCAAGTTTATTGTAAGCAACCAATCTACCATCTCTGCTGGCATCTTTTCCCCACAGACTTTCCTCTCTATGCTTGAGCTTATTCCTCATTTCAGGTTGCCCCTACCCACCATGTGAATAACTCCCTCACTGTCCCTGACACCCCATACCAAGCTGCAAGTCATTGCAGACACCCTCCTTACCCTGCTTGGTCTCTAACACCCAACTTTGGGCCACCATAGGTCCCCTCTCCCCACTGTGAACATGTTGATCTGCACTACTGTGCAGAAAAGGGTTAAAATGCTAGGCCTGAGACTGCCATCCTTAGAATGCCTTGCTTGCAAGGTTGGTCCTTGGCTGGCATCTGAGAACCTGGATTTGGGGGAGGATTCCCCCCATTCCCTAACAGAGTGGCTCAATATGCCTAACAGGCTTTACGATTTCACAGGTTGTCACTTGTTACTGGCAGAATTAAGTGCATCCTGTGTGATTCTACTGGGAGAGGGATGTTCAAAGCTGGTGCTTGGTTTCCCCTGGACTTCACTCAATTCTTTTTCCTTCTGCTGATTTTGTTTTGTATCCTTTCACTGTAATAAATCATTGTCATGAGTATGACATTTGCCCAGTCCTGCAAGTGCTCCTAGCGAATCATCAAACCTGCAGAGAGCCTTGAGAGCCCAATCAACAACTTTAAAACAGTATATTCAGGAAGGAGGACGGTAAATGAGCAATTCATTTAGATTTAACTTAATTAGTGACACTGCTGTATTTCAGCTCTACCACTCCATTGTTTTCTATTTGTCTTACTTGTTCTTTGTCCCTTTTTTTCCTTTCTTGATTTCCTTTTAATCAATAACATAATTTTTATTTTTTAGTTAAGGTGGGGAAAAGGTTATTCGAATGCCAGATAGTGCATAAGACTTAGATTTGGTAACCGTAATTTTATCTTATTTTTTTGGTGGCTGGCCAGTATTGGGATCTGAACCCTCCTGACCTTGCATAACACCATGCTCTAACCAAATGAGCTAAACAGCCAGCCCGATCACATAATTTTTAGTAATCCATTTTATCTTCTCTAATGGCTCTTACTATACTATTTTTTCAGTAACCAGGTGAGAGATTACAATATGCACCCCTGATTTATCACAGACTACCTGACATTAATACTATACCACTTTAGGTACAATGTAATAACCTTATTTCAATATAATTCCTTTTACTGCCCTCTTTGGCCCTTTGTACTATTTTTGTCCCACATTTTACTTATACATATATTACAAACAGCACAATCCTGTAAATTTTATTTGCTTTAAACAGCCAGTACTTAGAAAAATTAAGAACTTTCATATTTAAAAACATATTTATCACTTCAAAGGTTCTTAATTCATGCAGATACATTTTCCCATTGAGGATAATTTTCCTTCAGCCTAATGAATTTCTTAAAGTATTTCCTGTACTGTCAGTCTGCAGCAACAAATTCTTTTCATTTTGAAGGATATTTCAACTAGATATAGAATTTTAGATTAACTTTTATTTAATCTTCACACATTGAAGATGTCATTACACAATCTCTGAATTGTTTCTGGTGAGAAATCTAACACTGTTTATTTGAATGTAATGTTATTTTCCCCATTGGCTGCTTTTGATATTTTTTTGCTTCATTTTTTACAATTTGTACCCAGATGTGGTCATTGGGTTTATTCTGTTTGGGGTTCATGGCACTCCTTAGATCTGTACATTGTTGTCTTTTTAGAGCTTGGGGAAAGTTTCAAGCATTATTGCTTCAAGTATTTCTCTTACCTCATCCCTCCTCTCCTCTCTTCTGTACCTCAAATTACAGGTACATTAGATTAATACTGACCCGCAGGTCTCAAACTTCCACTATTGCTTTTTCTCTGTGCTTTGGTTTGATAATTTTATTGTCTTCCAGTTTACTCTTTCCTCTGCTATGTCCACTTTACTGTCAAGCCCACCCAATAAAATTTATTTCAGATACATTTTGCATTTCAGATTTGTATTTTTCATTATGAGACTTTCCATTGGGTTAATTTCTATTTCTCTGCTGAAAATCCCAATCTGCCCATACATTATCTTTTCCTGTAAATTCTTAAACACATCTCAAAGCTATTTTAAATCATTCTCTGTTCATTCCAATATAGGGATCCTCTCTGCATTTGCTTCTATACTAGTATATTTTCTACTGACTATAGATCACATAATTTTTCTTTGCATGATTTGTAATTGTTCATTGTGTACTGGATATGTTGTGAAGACTCTGGATTGTTTCCTCCTAAAGAATGTTGTGTTTTGTTCTGGCTTTAAATTACTAATGAATAACCATGATTATGTGAAGATTTGACTTTAAGCTTTGTTACAGTGAGTTACTTTCCATTTTGCCCTTGGTCCTATTGCACAGCCCTCAGTTCTAGGATGCTGTCACTCCTAAGGCATAGCTCTTTTGGGGTTTAAATGAGAAACATAGTGTTTACTTAACCCCACATGGTGGAACTTAGATTTCAAACTCTGTATCCTCAAGAATCTTCAATTTCTGCTCAGTTCTTTAAACTTCAACCACTGCTTTCTGCTGAGTTCCTTTAAATATCACACTGCACAGGTGCAATATGGGAATCTACCAAGGGTTTGAAAGGAATTTGTAGGCAGATTTTGGGATTTATTTCTCTGAGGCTCTATCCTTTCCAAGATTTCCCTTCTAATTTCCAGCTGTTCTAGAAGCCTCAAATGACTCCCCAGCTGAGCATGACTGCCACATTCTGCTTTAATTTTATCCAAAATGAACTGTACAAACTGGAAATTGCGCTATGGTGAATAGAAGGTTAATGTGGGTCACTTCTAAGATAGGACTTTATGCAGTTTCTGCCTGGTTTTGGTTGTTCTCCAGAGCTTTTTATATTTTTTCCAGAGTTTATAATTGTTATTGACAAGAGGTAAATCCAATACAAGCTACGTCTTCATTATCAGACTGCAACCACTGAGACCTCAAAAAGTTTTAAATTAAAAAATTAAAGGCAAAATAAAATTTATCATTTATTTCCAATCCATTAGGATAAAAACCCACTTTGTGCAGCCGTACCCTTTAATTCATTTCTTCCAAAGAAAAGTACAAAAGACCAGACTAAAACTGAGACAAACATTTAAAGAAAAATCCTTTGACTCCAGAATCCAAAACCAAACTGTAAATGGTTCATTTTACCAAAATAATTAATTTTTGTACAAAATATAAAGAATTTTACAGTATAAACAAAGACTGCTGTATATGTACTTAGAATTCTAGTATCTGCTTTACCTCCAATTCTTCTCAAACACAAAGCATATTTGCAAGTCAGAAACCTAATAACCTCAATGGGCAGCAGACTGTCTTAGAAGAAGCTTTTACCCTTAAGATGTCTGGAAAGATAATACTGATTCTTTCCCTTGGCTCAAAGTCCAGTACATCAGTAAGTTTTTTTTTTTTTCCTTTTTGTCTTTTTTCGTGTCCGGCAACGGACCGCAACCCTCAGTGTCGCGCCTGTACCGGACCGGGACCGGCAATGGGATCTCAACCCTCGGTGCTGCACCCGCCCCTCGCTCAGCCAGTGAGCGGGAACCGGTCTGTATGTGGGATCCGAACCCTCGGCAGGAGCGCCACCACACTCCCAAGCGGCGCACTGTAGCAGTGCGCCACCGGGCCGGCCCAAGTAAGTTTTAATTTAGTTTACAAAACTCTGCCATAGTAACATAAGAACACCAAAGCTTAAAGTTTAAACACTGTCTTTTAGGAAGTAATATAATACAGAGCTCAACACAAACTCTAAAAAGTCAAAATCTAAGTCTAATATTAATTCAGAAAACTTCAGCAACTTTTATCTTCATTGAAAAAGACCAAACCAATCCCTTACCTCCTACTATATCATTATTTTACTTTCATGGCCCATCTATGAAAGAAATTTTATTTTAAAATAAAATTTGGTCATAGTAAGTCATAGAAAATAGTTCTCTAGCACCAGCTGAACTTCAGACTTGATCAGGAAAGTAAAGTAACTTCTGTGCCATAGATGAATATTCATACAGTAATATAATTTTCTAACTCTGTTTATGACAATGTTAACTTGACTTTCATATCTTTTAACATTCGAAATCCTCATTATCTAAATATTTTCCCAATAGAATTATGATAATTTTAAAGATTATATTTAAAGAGTTGAGCTGGAACCACATCATCCACTAATGTGACGAGCCAGTTATCCAGGTACCAATAATTTAAGCCCTTTCTAAATGAAAACAAAATTTTATGAGTTTTTAAAAAACGTTTTAATTTGGGTGCTGATCAGCTAGCTCAGTTGGTTAGAGTGTAGCCATCTAACACCAAGTTCCAGGGTTCAGATACTCATACCAGCCACCAAAAAAAAAAAAAAAAAGTTTTAATTTGGGACTTCCCCAATTGTTCTCATCACCATCTTTCATAACTGATATTTTAAAACTGATGTTTTAATGTCTGAGACCGTAAAAAGATACTACTTAGAACAGAAAATCTGCATGCCTCTGGCTTTAAAACTTTTTTTCTCTATCTCAACTGTCAATTTTATTATCCAGAGTTCTAAAGACGTAAGAGATGAGATTTAAGTTATGACTACAAACAGACTAAGAAATCATACGTCTTCTGTATTCAGATAAATCTTTAACAAGAGCAAGAATAAAATTAAGACTATATGTCTTCATTATATAATTCTTATCTAGTAGGAGCAAGTTTTATATTTTAATTTATTGTCTCAAAACTAAAGACACATTTCCTAAATGAAAATCTCTATTACTACAAAATTATCCTTTCCACCCATGACATTTTACATAACATCATTTAAGCACCAAAGAAAAATTCTGTAAACAAGTTTTTAACCAGTAAACTAAGGGCAAATATCCATTTGCCTTTATTACAATATTTAAAAGGCCATTATATGAGTCTCTACTTCCTACAATGACATTTTTATAATAAAAATCCAGGCATATTTATACAAACAAGAAACAGAATTACTGTACATTTTGGGGGAACAAAAGGCAGATCAACAGACTAGAACTTTTTAGTTAATAAAGTAAGCACAAGAACCCTATAAAATGTAAGCAATGTATAAAAATTCAGTTTTTTTTTAAGGTTTCATTGAAGGGATTAATAATTATTAAGAATAAAAGATGGTAGTTCCACTGGCTTATAAATTTCCTGTAAACAGTAAGAAAGTAATAAGCAATAAATTAGAAATGTCTCAGCTCCCAGTATTTCTCTTCTCTTGCACTGGAACCATTTTTATAGCAGTTAAAATTGGCTCTCTTAAATATTAGACTAATTCTAGCAGAATATAAATTCCATCAGGAATAAGTTAACAAGTCTATAATAGATTTTTGACAAATATATTTGGGAAAAAAAAAACCCAAAAAACACTGCAGGTCACATGAGGACAGATCTACATGTTATATGACAGAGTTAACTCAAACCTTCAAACCTTTCCCATTTTGCCAGATTTGCTTTGTTGTTACTATATTCCTTTCTAAACTGTTTGGTAGCAAGGTAATAATAAAAAAAAAAGTGAAAAGAACACAATTATTTAATGTCTGTAGATTTAAGAAGAAAAAAGCCCTCAAAATAACTTTTTTCTATTACTGTAACTTAGAAAAAAAGTTTCATTTGGCACAATGGATTTGTAAAAAGAAAAGAAAAAAAAGAAACTTAACAGTGCTTGGCATTCCAATCACTCGTAGTTAAGACAACAGTAAGAAATGAAAACAGGAAAAATTACTATTTTAAGAAGTGATGTCAGAAGACAAGCAACCAAAGGCTCTTTTGTCTTCTACCATTCGCTCTTTCTCGAATACTTTTATCTGCAACACAATATACAAATTATTATTTACATTTGATTATATTGGTAAAGACCAGAATCAGTTTTTGCTGTGCTCTAACTTACAGTGCCCAGAGGGATAACTATGACCATCAAGGCAAGAAGGCCTTAAACAACAAAATAGTCCATTTGCATTGTATCTTTTATTTAAATTTGTTTTCTGGTTCATCTTCAAGTTTCATACAAATAACTGTAAGACTCTGAAAAGTCCTGTAAACTTAGGCTGAGTTTCTGTAGCTGTAACTATACACTGAAGATCATATGTTTCTCTCTTGTTAAAGTAAAATGTTCTGCAGGCTTACAAAGGTATTTCCTCAAACGGTGGTATCTCCAAAGTCCTTGTTCCAACGGATGTACGCTTCTAAGGTTTGAGGGCTCACGCTGCGTTTTATCTTTTTCAAGGATTCAGTGAAGTCAGATAATCGGATATTTCTCATCTAGATTTTTAAAAAACATGACAATACAGATGGTGAACACATATACCATAGTTAATGATAGATTAACATAATGGTGCTGCTGTTTATTATGTTATAATAAATATACACATGAGGGTACTTCAAAAAGTTCAGACTTCCTAACTTTGTAAAGTGTCCTCATAGATGTATTCTGAGAAAATCATGCCAATCATTTTCATGTATTTTATATACTATATATAAGGAAAGTTTAAAAAAATGCTATACCCTAATATACTTTTATTACTTATGTTTAGTTTACAGGCATTAACATTTTAAAATACGATACTTTCTCACTATTAAGACAAAACATACTCATTACAGAAAAATCTGACAAAATACAGACAAATAGGAAAAAAGAATCACTCACAATTCCACCACTCAAATGTATATAACCACTATTTGGCATATTTCCTTCCATTTTTTTTTTAATGTATAGTTTCATGGAATTTTGCATTCTCGAGTCTAACTTACCACAAGCATTCTCTTGCTAAATTCATGCTAGGTTTATTAGAAAGAAAAGCGGGGTTATAAGAAACACATGGGACTTTAAAGGAAATATTGCTCTGGGGCCAGCCTGTGGCTCACTCGGGAGAGTGCGGTGCTGATAACACCAAGGCCACGGGTTCGGATCCCATATAGGGATGGCTGGTTCGCTCACTGGGTGAGCATGGTGCTGACAACACCAAGTCAAGGGTTAAGATCCCCTTACCAGTCATCTTTAAAAAAAAAAAAAAAAAAAAGGAAATATTGCTCTTTAACTGTGACATGTAGGATGCTTGTATCTGAAATTTTCTAATATTAATATTCCTTATATTTTATATTAACTTGGTCTTATTTTCTGACATTTTTAATTGCCTTTGGGAATGTAGATTAAAACAATACATATAAATGGGAATGATAGAATGGACTTCCATAATCTCTAAAATAAAATGCCACCATTGAGTATTTATGTATTTTAAAATTATTTAATGGATCCCTACATAGTGCTCACTGTCTGCCAGACTATTTTAAGTGCTTTATAAATATTAACTCATAAAGGCTAACAGCTAAAAATCACTACCAGACTATTAATACTAAAACCACTAGATTAAAAATAAACTTGTTTAATTTTATACTATATAAGTTTAAGTTATACTGTATACTTTCATCCAGTTTTTAAACAGTTTTTAAGCTGCACTGTATACTTTCATCCAGTTGTTTAAAAGTTTTTATAAATTATAAACGATGTAACCTGAATATATATAATTAATGGATGGTCACAAAAGGTACCAGTAATATTATTTCTTGTAATTCATTCAGTAGTTTTAGTTTTGCTAGCTAAATGTTTAGTAAAAAATAATTTTATGACAATTAAAAAATGGTGGATGCAATTATACTTTTAGGTGTGGAATTAAAAAATTCAAGTACGCATGTTACATAGTAACACTGGAAAAAAATGTACTTTATCAGAATGAACTCATGACATTGAAAAAATACGGGTATTATCAGGCTCTTGTCACTGGAATAGGCTAACTTAATATCAGTAGTAATAAAAAACAGTAATATACATCTCTACACCCGGAGTTTTAATATTATTTTCCATTAAAATGAACCAGGGTTCCTAGAGAGCCACTGATCCCATGTCTCGGGACAGGTAAATTCAAGATGTGCCTAGAATAACTTGTTCCCAGAAAGCAAGAGTGCTTTTCAAAATTCTGAAGTAGTACTGAGAGGGCTCATCTCAATTTAGAAGCAGATTTCACTGGCTGAGGGTGACCCTTTAAACATTAAAAAAACTAATTGATTTACAGATGTAGTAGGCAGCTTCTGGTACATTTCCCAATGATTCCTGCTTCTTGTTACACACGCCCCTGTGCAGTATCCTCCCCTTGAGTGTGAAATGGACCTAAAGAACCTATTATGGCAAAACTAATGAGATGTCACTTCTAGGATTAGGTTACAAAGATTATAACTTCCATCTTGGTGACACTCTCTTGCTTTCTTGGCCTATATGAAGCAAACTGCTGTGTTGGAGAGCCCTATGCGGCAAGGAACTAAAGGGAGCCTCCAGCCAACTGCCAGTGAAAACTGAGACTGTCAGACCAACAACCCATGAGGAAATGAATCTGACAAACAACCACATGAGTGGTCTTGGAAGCAGATCCTTCCTCAGGCTTGTAGTCACTCAACATCTTGATCGCAGTATTATTAGAGACCCTGGGCCAACAGCTTGCTTACAGGCCTGTGAGAAAATCCTGAAACAGAGGACTTGCCTGAACTGTGTCTGAATTCTTCTCTGTGAAACTGTGAGAAAATAAATGTGTAATTTGAAACCGCTAAATTTTGGGGTGATTTATTATGCAATAATAGACACCTCATGCAATAGAGTTATTTTTAGTTGAAAACTAATAAAATACAACATTATTAGTTGAAAAACTAATAAATTAGTTTTATTAGTTGAAAAACTAACAAAATACAACATTAAGGTGTTAACCTATAACCATAGGTTCTTTTCAAAGTGTATAAAATCCTCAAGTTTTCTATAATTTTCTTCTGTTTAGTATTTTCATAAGATGATTTGATAGAAAATTACTTAATGACTATATTTTTTTTTTGTCTTTCGTCTTTCTTCCGTGTCCGGCAACGGATCGCAGCCCTCAGTGTTGCCCCCGTACCGGACCGGGGACCGGCAACGGGATCACAACCCTCAGCGTTGCTCCCGCGCCTCGCTCAGCCAGTGAGCGGGAACCGGTCTGTATGTGGGATCCGAACCCTCGGACGGGAGCGCCGCCGCGCTTCCCAAGCGGCGCACTATCAAGTGCGCCACCGGGCCGGCCCAATGACTATATTTTTTTTGTCCATTACCAAAAAACAACATAAGAGACTAATTTCATAGCCCCCCGTATTTTGAATGAAGGGAAGTGAACTCTCTCTAGTTTCTAATAAAATAAAGTGGAAAATCCAGACAAAAAATATAAGTCTTACAATATAGAAGACCAAAACAAAGAAAATATAATTGTAAAACAGTATACCTCACTGGCAGACATATTCTTCACCTGTTCTGGTTTCAGTTCTGTAAAATATAAAAGTCAGGCACTTAAAAAATTTTTTTTGGAGTTTTAAATTGCTAAAGGGCAAAACAAAGGATAATGATCTTAAAAGTACCTGTTCAATATAAATTCAATATAAATCATTAATCAACATTGAGAGCATATCAAATTTATAAATATTTAGGATAGAATAATATTCCTTCTTAAGAGTAGAATAATATTCCTTTGTAAGAGTATTTCTTTTTAAGAACTGGGAGGCATTCAATTTCTTGCATATTGCCCAAGAACAACAGAGTCTACAAATTTTTTTTTTTTTTTTTTTTAAAAGATGACCGGTAAGGGGATCTTAACCCTTGACTTGGTGTTGTCAGCACCACGCTCAGCCAGCGAGCTAACCAGCCATCCCTATATGGGATCCGAACCCGGGGCCTTGGTGTAATCAGCACTGCACTCTCCCGAGTGAGCCATGGGCCGGCCCGAGTCTACAAATTTGAAAATGACCTTAAAAGAATGCAACTTGCTCTTTACAAAAGCCTTTAGTTTTTTTATTTTAAACCCCCAAATTTGTCTCCTTCAGAATAATAGCTAGAATGTTCTAAAAAAATAGAAACAGTAATGTATAAATAATTTGTGAGCCCATTATCTGAACAAGATTTGTTTACCCTAAGTCTCAAAACATATTCCCAAGGTTTCATTTATTATTTTCCAAAGCAGTTCTTAATCAGTACCCTATTTCACTGTGGGAGATGTGTTACCAGTAATTTTTAAGAAAGCAAAAAGGTTTTGTATAATGTATGCTTTTAACACAAATTACAGCAGAAACTATGGTACCATCTTTCTCATTCAATTGTATGAGGGTACTTCAAAAAGTTCATGGAAAAATAGAATTAAAAGATAATATAAATATTTTCATCAACTTTTTGAAGACCCCTTGTACTTTCTTGAGTGAGAAAATGGGTGGAGCTATAACTAGTGCTCTGGAAGTTGCATATTCTATGTTCTATTTTATCATCATAGCCAATAATCTGAGTGCATACACGAGAACATCACCTGTCCACTACCCATGCTGGCCATGAAAATGTAGCTGAGAACATCTACTCTAAAGTGATATCATAGTTAGTTAAATCGTATCTAATCTAAAAACAATCAGTTGTGGTATTTCTTTTTCTCTTTTTTTGGCAGCTAGCTGGTACAGGGATTAAACCCTGGACCTTGGTGTTTTCAGCATTATGTTCTAACCAACTGAGCTAACCTGGCCACCCCCCAGTTGTGGTATTTCAGAATCAACAAACTAACTTGAATCAAAACATAGCAATGAGGGCCGGCCTGGTGGCGCACTGGATAGTGCGCCGCTTGGGAAGCGCGGCGGCGCGCGCCGCCCGCGGGTTCGGATCCCCCATACAGACCGGCTCCCGCTCACTGGCTGAGCGAGGCGCGGGAGCAACACCGAGGTTTGCAATCCCGTTGCCGGTCCCTGGTCCGGTACGGGGGCAACACTGAGGGTTGCGATCCGTTGCCGGACACGGAAAAAGACAAAAGACAAAAAAAAAAAAAAACATAGCAATGAGGGCCGGCCTGGTGGCGCACTGGATAGTGCGCCGCTTGGGAAGCGCGGCGGCGCGCGCCGCCCGCGGGTTCGGATCCCCCATACAGACCGGCTCCCGCTCACTGGCTGAGCGAGGCGCGGGAGCAACACCGAGGTTTGCAATCCCGTTGCCGGTCCCTGGTCCGGTACGGGGGCAACACTGAGGGTTGCGATCCGTTGCCGGACACGGAAAAAGACAAAAGACAAAAAAAAAAAAAAACATAGCAATGAGGGCCGGCCTGGTGGCGCACTGGATAGTGCGCCGCTTGGGAAGCGCGGCGGCGCGCGCCGCCCGCGGGTTCGGATCCCCCATACAGACCGGCTCCCGCTCACTGGCTGAGCGAGGCGCGGGAGCAACACCGAGGTTTGCAATCCCGTTGCCGGTCCCTGGTCCGGTACGGGGGCAACACTGAGGGTTGCGATCCGTTGCCGGACACGGAAAAAAGACAAAAAAAAAAAAAAACATAGCAATGAATGACATATTTTGCTGCAATTCTCAAAAGACAACATAAAAAGTAAAAACTTCTCTTTAAATAAATTCCTTTAGAAACATTAATTTCAAATGACTTTAGACTATTAAAATGTAAAGAACCAGAAAACAGATATGAGTATGTTTTCTCTATTACTATTTTCTGCTTATTTAAAAAGTTTCCGTTTTCTCTGAATTTTCTGCGCTTACCTACTATCAAGAAGTGAAACCTGTTGTCTAGGTCAGGGGTCATGGTCCACTCTGGCTCATGACTGTTTTTGTATGGCCTGTGAGCTAAGAATGGTTTTACATTTTTAAAGGGTTCTTAAAGAAAGAAAAAAAAAAGAGCTGATGATGATAATGACTGCAAGAACCATGTGTGGTCCCACAAAGCCTCAAATATATAGCTTTACTGACAATAAAAAAAGATGTCTCAGTAGGGACTTCTTTCCTTTTTTTTTTCCAGTAGGGATTTCTTAAGCTTCTAAAGTGATATAATAAATAGTTCTAAATGTTTCACGCTCTTGTGCACTTACCTCGGATAGGACCCAGTGCCGCATCTTTTGCCAAAGCTGTTAGATCACTTCCTGAGTATCCATCAGTCATTCTGTAAAGGGAAAGAAAAAAATAGATTGTTTTCATCTTTGCAGATTTAAAATCTCCACATAATAAGAGGGTATATAACTAGTTTGCCTTTGTCAGTAAGCTGACAGTTATGTGGTTTGATTTTAAGGGCACAGAAAGGTCCATTTGCTTAAACAAAAAGACTGATTACTGCCGGCTCCTTATAATGTCTCAAATTTTCATTAGAAACATTCCTTTAGATTAAGGCATACTATCTCCAGGAGGCTCTATCAAACTGTAAACCTGTCACCTGGAAAGATAACATCTACAAGCCATTGGTAGCCAACTGACACATAACCACAATTACTTCTATATAAGTTAATTTGTCTTCAACTTGGCAAAGAGCATTCTCTTGACAGAATGAAGACTGATCAAGGCAGATTTCTTTAAACATAGGACAGATAGGATGAAAGAAGGGTCTGGGATAGAAAGCATTGGCAAAAAGAGGCACACCTGAATAGGATGCCACAGTGAAGAGTCCTGGGCAGCCAAGAGATTATCAAGGGGAACTAAGAATTACGGAAGGGACACAAAGAGCAGGAAGAAAATAAAACAGGGAAAAAGGCATTTACTTATCATTAAATAGGTTCACAGATCAAACATTACTAGCAGAATTCTTTATTGGAATAACGAAGAAAGACCACAATATTTCCAAGAATTGAGTTTGTTCTTTTTTCATAGGTTTCTGGGAACTCAGGGTTCTCTTACTAAAATTACTTGGTACTCACATGAATATTTTAAATTACTTTATGACATTTTTCAGGTTCTAAGATTCACGAGTGCATCTCCTATATTTAGTTCCTACTTAAGTATACTGTTTATAAAAAAGATTAAAATGTAAAAGTTTTAAAAAATTCTGCATAATGCAAAAGAACAAGTTTATATGAAAATGTCCTTGTATGGGTAGATATGAGATGCTTTAAATTTTTTAATTACTTTACTACGACTTATAAATTTTAATAAATGTATAAAAAGGATATAGTCCCATCATTAGATAATTAGGTCATGTCTTGTAAAAGACATAGAAATTGAAATTTAAATACCATATATATATGAATAAGAGGTAAGAAAGAAGGTAAAGAAAGGAGAGGATGAGACAAGTTTTCTGATAAATGAATTACTCATGTCATACTTGAGCTTATTTTAAGTAACAGAAAAAAAATGCTTCACCAAAATAAATAAAGCTGTAAGATAAACCAAATCAAATTACTCACCTAGCAAGTTGTGCTAGTTCTTTTTGGGTCAATGGGCTTCCTTGTTTACACAACAGATTTTTAAGTAAAAGTAATCTTGTCTGAAAAAAAAAAAGAATTATCAGTCCATTCTAATTTTATATCAGAATAAATAATTATTTACGAGCTGAGAAGGAGCTTAATAAAATATGCAGGAATCAGGTTCAAATCCTGACTGACTGTCACCTTGGAGCCTCATTCATGTCTGTTAAATGAAGTTAAAGCTACCTATTTTTTTGAGAGTTCCTGAGAGAATTAAAGGAGGTAATCCAAATAAAGCACTAAGGAAGTAGCTGCTACTACTATCAAAGATGCTAAGGGTCTAAACAACCATAATTTTTTAAAAACAGTTTTATAGAGGTACAAATTCATATACCATGAATTTCACCCACTGTAAGTATATAATCCAGTGACTTTTAATAAGTGTACAGAGTTGTACAACTATCACCATAATCCAGTTTTAGAACATTCCTATTACCCCAAAAAGTTCACTCATGCCTGTCTGTAGTTAATTCTCACTTACACCCCTCATCCTAACAAACCTCTGATATGCTTTATGTTTCTAGAAACTTGCCTTTTCTGGACATTTCATATAAATGGAATCATGTGATATGTAATCGTTCACATCTGGCTTTTTCCATTTAGTATAATATTTTTGAGTTTCATTCTTATTATAGTATGTAGCATGTACAGCTCATTTCTTTTATTGCTAAATAGTATTCATTAAATAGATATACCACATTTGTTTACTCATTCACCAATTGATGCACATTTTAGATTCTTTGTGGTGTTTAGCTATTTGTTCATGTCTTTGTGTGGATATGTTTTTAATTCTCTTGGATAAATTCTTAGGAGTGGAATTGTTGAGTCTTACAGTGAGTTTATGTTTGTCTATTTAAGAAACTGTCAAACTGTTTTCCAAAGTGGCTATATACCATGGATTGGATGCCTCAATATTGTCAAGATCGCAGTTCTTGTTTCTGCTTAAAAAAAAAAAAAAAAAATTCAAGGGCTGGCCCGTGGCTCACTTGGGAGAGTGTGGAGCTGATAACACCAAGGCCAAGGGTTCGGATCCCTATATAGGGATGGCCGGTTAGCTCACTTGGGAGAGCAAGGTGCTGACAACACCAAGCCAAGGGTTAAGATACCCTTACCAGTTATCTTAAAAAAAAAAAAAAAAAAAATTCAAACATAGGTACATACCTCCTCATTTGGTAAAGACACATATACCCGTTTGATGAAACGCCTAAAAAAAAGGAATCAAGCAATTTCAGAAATATAATTTTGAATTTAAATGTAACTCAGCTCAAGTAGCAAATGACAGGAAAAAGCCTTTAAGTATAATATTCAAGGTTCTTGAATGCATTTTAGTAGTAATCAATGTAAAAAGATATTTTTAGTTTCTCTTCTAAAACTCTCTAGTTAATGTTTAAAAATCATTAAACTTTAACTAGGACAGTGAAAATTACACTGACAAAGGAAGACACACACAAAATCTACCACAGCAGATTGTGAACACAGCTGTCAGAACATAAGAGTTTTTCAAACGACGGGGCTGGCTGGTTAGCTCGGTTAGAACATGGTGCTGATAACACCAAGGTCAAGGGTTCGGATCCCCATACTGGCCAGCCACCAAAAAAAAAAAAAAAGGAAACAGAGATGCACACCCTGAAGAGTAACCAAACCAACCCCCCTAGATTCAAACAAGCATTTGAGGCTCAGCTTCTGCAGACCATGTGAACCCTAACTGATAATGGGAATGGCAAGGAAGGTGAGGCTGAACAAAGAAACTGAAAGACACATCATCTTTGTTAAGAAAGCATCTCTCAGTCTGGCAGGATTACAAGTTACCTTACAATGACCAATATTTTTTAGGTGAAGAAGACTAAATCAGCCCTATCTCTTATTTACACATACATACACTTCATTATCAGGTAGGGCTTCAATGTGAATCTGGAAGACTGCACATTAGCCCAGGGTATACATGGGACAACTCAAGATACCTGCTCAGTATCTTATTTTTCTAGCCTTTCCAGTACAATATCTTTCCAAAATGAGGTTTTCCAAAAAAATCCCCTTATTCATAAGAAAAAATAATAAGCAAAAGGAAAAAGCACAGGGCTCATTAAAAAAAAAAAAAAGCCGATAAAATAAAGAACATGCACAAGAAGCGCTGGCTAGAGCTTGATTAGAGCACAGTGTTATAATACGAGGGTCAAGGATTCAGATCCTCATACTGGCCAGCTACCAAAAAACCCAAAAACTCAAAGAACACGCACAACAAGATTTTTCCATAGAGCAAATTAAATTATGATAAACAGCTTTCCATGAAACGAAATAATTCAATGAAAGAAATTGTTTTCATTGAAAAAAAACCCAGAAAAATGAATTTGAATAAAAAAAAATTAAAGATATCATTCAAAATAAATTTCCCAAAACAAAGGAAGTTCCAAACTATCAATTTAAAGAAACATCAAATCCCAGGAAAAATAAAAAAAGATCAATCACCATATTTTTCAAATTTCTATCCAGTAAAGACAAAAAACTCAAATAAATCTATAAATGGGGAAAAAAAATCAGTGTGGATTCAGACATTTACACGGTGACATCCAATCCTAGAAACAATGAAGCAATGTTATAAATTCCTAGGGGAAAAAAAAACAGGCCAAATAATTTTATGCTGAGCACTGAGCAGTTGGTTAGAGCATGGTGTTATAACACCAAGGTCAAGGGTTTGGATCCCCTCACCAATCAGCCATCCCTCCACCCCCCAAAAAAGAATTTTATGCTGAGTTAAACTGTCCTTTCAGTATAAAGGGAATAAATTTGCTCAAACACACAAGAACAGAAAACATAGTCCCATGAACCCCCCCCCCCCTTTTTTTTCCTTTTTGTCTTTTTTCATGACCGGCAACGGGATCGCAACCCTCGGTGTTGCGCCCGCACCACGCTCAACTAGTGAGCGGACCGGTCTCCATATGGGATCCAAACCCTCGGCGGGAGCGCCACCACACTCCCAAGCACCGCACTCTACCGAGTGCGCCACCAGGCCAACCCCATGAACCCCCTTTGATCAGCTTCTCACGAAGCCTCATGAAAAAGGGTAAGGTTCAGTTTTAGAGTTTAAAGATAATTTAATGCCACCCAGAAAAATTGACCAATGTGTTTAACACGATAAAGTGAAGACTAGTTCTCATGATATCATGCTGGCCCTGACCTCAAAATTCTAATTTAGCTGGTAACAAAAAGCCAAAGGATAGTATAGGGAGGAAAATAACAAATTTAGTCTTAAAATTGAGTATAAGAAATAAGTGAGATGAATACACGAGTAAATACATTTCTAATAAATGCATGTGTTTCCACATAAATTTCCCTACCTGAGAACAGCCTCATCAAGCTCTTGTGGCCTGTTAGTTGCACCCATTACAAGTACTCTGTCATCTCCAGCAGATTGTACCTATAAGCCCAAAAAACTTTTTCAGTACTTTTAGGTAAAGTAATAACAAATAAAAATATAATAAACATATTCACATTTCTAATTAGTCACTTAATAAGAAAATATATATACTAACATGTTGCCACATTAAAAATATAATTAACACTTACACCATCAAATTCTATTAGAAATTCAGTTTTTAGTCGTCTACTAGCATCGTGCTCCCCTTCTCTTCTTTCACACAAAAGGCTATCAACTTCATCTAGAGGAAATACAAGGGTAAGACTTTAATTAAAGGCCAAGCTATGTCAGGCATCTGTGGATTAACCTAGTTTACTACTGATGTTGTAATGGGTCCTGCTGAATTCATTAGAGAATCTTTAACCTCACTCTTTTTTCTTCTAAATAACCTTTCCTATCATAGCTCTCGTATTTGGAGAGGGGAATTTCACAAATATTCAACTAACTTAGTTGGAAAATACGTTCTTACCTATAAAAATTATAGAAGGTTGAAGTTCTCGAGCCACAGCAAAAAGTGCTCTCACCAATTTTTCTCCTTCTCCCACCTAGAACAAGGTATTATATATTGTTATACACATAAAATACAACATTATTCCAGCTTTTTAAAGTTCATCGTTGGAAGTCTAGAACCTTGGAAATTAATTTCCCTTCCTTGCAACAACCAAAGATTTGGTTTGAGAAATTGGGAGGAAGGGTTTTACTGAACTGTCCCTTATAATTTTAGAAAATAGACTACTTAGGATTTCATATAGCTTGGTAAGTACTTTAAAAAATAAAATACATTATTGCTTCACCCTGGATGCCTGAGACTTGAGAATGGAACAGCTATTAGACAGGGGTATAACAAAGATAAAGACATACTGCACATATTCCTTAGCCCTAGACTACAAGGTATACCTACAGAAACAGGTAAGTTGGAAAGTGCTCTCCTAAACAAAACTTGTTCTATTAAGAACACCTTGAAAACTCGTTCTCACAATATCACTGTCAATAAATATCAAAATATTTCCAGGTAGTCCAGGAGATCTGTGAATAACTCTTAAGACATTCCCAGGTACTGAAACCACCATGGTAAGGCCATTCCATGCCCTGAAATATCTAATAAAAGGGTCATTAGGTCTGTGAGAATCTATTGTAAAATTCTTCTGTCCTCTAGAAGGCATTTATTCTTTTTATTGAAAATTTCACTTAACAAACAAACAGAAGGGGCCGGCCCGGTGGCGCAATGGATAGTGCGCCGCTTGGGAAGCGCGGCGGCGCTCCCGTCCGAGGGTTCGGATCCCACATACAGACCGGCTCCCGCTCACTGGCTGAGCGAGGCGCGGGAGCAACACCGAGGCTTGCGATCCCGTTGCCGGTCCCCGGTCCGGTGCGGGGGCGACACTGAGGGTTGCAATCCGTTGCCGGACACAGAAAAAGACAAAAAAAAAAGGAAAAACAAACAAACAAACAAACAAACAAACAAACAAACAAACAGAAGGAATGGCTCCAGATTTAGAACAATCAAAACAAACATTCCCCAAACTGGAAGGAAACTCAAGAGATCACCTCTGATGACATTAACATTTTACAGATAAAGTAGGCCTAAAGTGATACCTCCTTAAGGCCAGCTTGGTATGTAAAAAGTTGGGTTGGAATCCCTATCTCCTAACTTCCAAGACAGTGCTTTCCATTAGATTGTGTGCATAATATGGGTAAACCTGTTTTAATAACAACTTGACATAAAATTTCACCTAGGAAGCGAAATGTGATCAGGAAAAGAGGTGCCATTTTATAGTTACTTTTAATTATTTTATAAAATTGAGAACATTTTAAGTACTAAGGTTTATTAAAATATCTGAAGAAACTTTAAAAAGATTCAACTTAGCAGAGATAATACAAGAAAAATATTACTTTTTTTTTTTCCTTTTTGTCTTTTTTTCATGACCGGCAACGGATCGCAACCCTCAGTGTCGCGCCCGTACTGGACCAGGACTGGCAACGGTATTGCAACCCTCGGTGTTGCGCCCGCACCTCGCTCAGCCAGTGAGCAGCCGGTCTGTACATGGGATCCGAACCCTCGGCGGGAGCGCCACCGCGCTTCCCAAGCGGCGCACTGTAGCAGTGTGCCACCGGGCCAGCCCCGAGAAATATTACTTTATCAGTTTCTCTGCCATTACTAGTTTTTTACTCTAGTAGAGAGAACACTGATGCATTGAAGACCAAATAATAAAAATTTTGAAGACCGTAGAAAAACACTTTGTAACTGCAAAGAACTATATGAATATTATTTTTCACAATAATTAACATAATAAATTAAAAAATTTTAACACCTCCTCCCCAAACCTCCCCCCCCCCACTTCATAAGCAGGTTAATTAACAGTTCTATAATACAAGAATTAAATCTATTTGTGTAAAAAGATACAGCTAAAACTACATGCAACAATCTGGATAAATCTCACAAATGTAATGCTGATGGAAGAAGCCAAACACACACACAGAGACACACACACAAGGGCCAGCCCATGGCTCACTCGGGAGAGTGTGGTGCTGGTGGCACCAAGGCCCTGGGTTCGGATCCTATGTAGGGATGGCCGGTTCGCTCACTGGGTGAGCGTGGTGCTGACAACACCAAGTCAAGGGTTGAGATCCCCTTACCGGTCATCTTTAAAAAAAAAAAAAAAAAAAAAAAAAGACACACACACAAAATCCTGGATAATTACATTTATATAAAGTTCAAAGATAGGTTAGTTTTGCCTGTAGTGTTTAGTAGTCTAGTGGTTTTGGGGTAGAGGAGAAAGTAGATAAAGATGGGGGGAGAGGCTGAAGGGATTTCAGAGGAGGTGCAAGTAACATACTACTGCTTGACCTGGGTAGTGATTATGAAAGTATATTCACTTGTGATAATCCAGGAACTGTATACTTATGAACACTTGCCTACATGTAAGTTATACAACAAAGTGTTAAACAATAATACAAGGGTAATTCAAAAAGTTTATGGAAAAACAAGACTAAAAGATAATGTATTAGTCTGTTTCTGTTGCTTATAACAAAATACCTGGAACTGGGTGATTTATAAAGAAAAACAAAATTTATTGCTTACAGTTTCTGAGGCTGGGAAGTCCAAAGTCCATCTAGTGGTGGCAACAGGAGTCTCACATAGCAAAATGGTGGAAGCAGCGAGAGTAGAGAGAAAGACTCTCGTCTCTCTTCTTTTAAAGCCCTCAGAACCATGCCCCTGACCACCATTTTTAATCTATTCACTATGGCACGGTCCTACAATCCAATCACTTCTTCAAGATTCCACCTTTCAATTACCATAATAGGATTTCCCACCCTCTTAATAGTCACAGTGGGGACCAAGTTTCTAATGCATAAAACTTGGGGGACACAACTCAAGCTTCAGTGAGTTTCGGGGGGACATAATTCAATCTACTGCACATATGTAAATGATTTTTTGTGGAAAAAAATCTAGATATTTTAATAACATCAGTGTTGTCCATGACTATGAGGTAGTTCCTCCACAAATAGGTCTCTAAGGTTATATCATAAGAAATGGAGTATCTATATAATCTTAAACAGCACTTTCTTTTTAATTCTTCAAAAGCAAGATCACATCTGAGGTAAAACATTCTGTTCTTATCACACTCTAAGCATACTAACAAACTGACATGAGACCACAGGAAGATAACTAAGATAACTAATCCAGAGAAATGAAAAAGTAGATAGCCTATATATTCGAAAGGCTATCTCATAAAAGAAAACTAGGGCCGGCCCAGTGGTGCACTGGAGAGTGCACCGCTTGGGAGCGCGGTGGCGCTCCTGCCGAGGGTTCGGATCCCATGTGGAGACCGGTTCCCGCTCACTGGCTGAGCGTGGTGCGGGCGCAACACTGAGGGTTGAAATCCCTTGCTGGTCCCCGGTACGGGCGCGACACTGAGGGTTGCGATCCCATTACCAGTCAGTAAAAAAGAGACAAAAAGAAAAAAAAGAAAACTAGACTTTTGTTGCATCCAGTATATAAAAATTATAAAATAAAGGCCAATTAGCTCAGTTGGTTACAGCATGGTGCTGATAATACCAAGGAGTCTAGGGTTTAATCCTTGTACCAGCCTACTACCAAATTAAAGAAAAAAATGTAGATTTCAGTTAGACATAAAAAAAAATAATAATAATAATTTTTATTAGCTTAGAACTGTCCAAATGATGAACTGGACACTCCAATCTTCTTAAAAGTAAATTTGCTTCGGGTCGACCCGGTGGCGCACTGCTACAGTGCGCCGCTTGGGAGCGCCCCTGTGCTTCCACCGAGGGTTCAGATCCCACATACAGACCGGCCGCTCACTGGCTGAGCGAGGTGCGGGAGCAACACCGAGGGTTGCGATCCCAGTGCCGGTCCCGGTCCGGTACGGGCGCGACGCTGAGGGTTGCGATCCATTGCCGGTCACGAGAAAAGACAAAAAGGAAAAAAAAAAAAAAGAAAATTTGCTTCAAGACACATAAGGTAGTATAGAATTGGGTGTTAAGATCATGGACTTCACATTGTTTTAGGAATCATGTAGACGAAAGAAAATAGTCTTGAAAAAAGGATGGATAAAAAAGAATGGTTGCTGTAAATATTTAATTCCTAGTTTCCTACTTCTTGGTTATGAGATCCTAAGTACATACCTGAACTTCTCTGCATTCAGTTTCCTAATCAATAAAAGAGAGATATGGGTTTGGATCCCTTTATTAGTCAGCTGCCAAACAACAAAAAAAACCTCACTACCACCACCACCACCATCAAAAAAGAAGAGTTTCTATAACTCATATGATTATCTATTTATTCCACAAATATTTATTTAGTACCTACTCATTGCCAGATATTGTTCAAGGTACTGTGAATATGAACAGTGAGAAAAAGCATGGCAATAGTTTCTGCCCTCATGGACACTGTCTTCTAGTGGAGGTGATAGTAACACTACATAAAAATAAAATAATCGGGCCGGCCCGTGGTTCATTCGGGAGAGTGCGGTGTTGATAACACCAAGGCCCCGGGTTCGGATCCCATATAGGGATGGCCGGCTCGCTCACTGGCTGAGTGTGGTGCTTACAACACCAAGTCAACCTTACCGGTCATCTTTAAAAAAAAAAAAAATAATAATAATAATAAAATAATCATGGCAATAAATATGAATTACAACTTCAATGAGTATGTAAATGAGAGGTAAATGATACTACGAGAATAATAAGGGGGATAAGTTTGGAGGGACAGGGAAGATTTTAACATTTCAATTGATATCTGAAGAATGAATACAAATTAACCAAGAGAAAACAGTGTTCATGATAAAGTAAACTCCATGAAGAAAAGTTCCATGGTAGGAAAAAGCATAACCATATTTGAAGAACTGCCCAAGGAGAAGGAGTCTTTGCAAAGGCACTTCAAAAACTATGGGTCCAATGGCAAGGCTATCTCTATCAGAGATGGAGGCTACTTTAGTCCAATGCCACAAAATAAACTATGGTCAATGTGTCAAGTTTGCCTTTCTTTAACTTACTGCCCATAATTCAACCTTAAAGTAAGCTTTCCACACATATCTAATTATAGGGAGAGAATATGCTGTTCATGTCAGCTAGACAATTCTGTTCTCATGTCTGTTCTAAAACACAAATCTGTTCTTGGTGTGCTGATAAAATCAAGTTTCTTTCCCTGAAAAGGTGAAAGCTGAGATAAATTCATGATGGGAAGGCTACCCTCTGAGCCCTTCATGAAGACAGACTGCCCAGAAACCATGCGGTGATTACCTCTGTACTTCAGTACACCAAATACCAACACTTCAAACATTTATGGATAATATATTCTTTCACCAGAGATTCACATTTCAGTTTAAATAAGTTTTCCAAAACACTTTCAACCATCAAGGTTTTGATATGGGGCAGACAGAGAATAGGACGTCACTGGACAACAAAGGGAAAGGGAAAGAAGAGAGAAAGCCAAAGCAGTATAAGATTGACAGAAATAATCTACTTCACAGTTTTGCAATATACCAGTTCTATTCACACAATGGTTATACACATCAGACAAATTACTTTTGTTAAATGAATGAATTTAAATTTTAACTGAGTTTATTTCAGCAAAGAAAAACAGAAAAAGGCAAATAAAACAGAAACAATTCACCTATCAAGCAATCTTCTGAACCAGAGCAGGTTCAGAGAACAACCAATAACATGATCTGACAGCATTTATGGGAATCGGAAGTATGGTGCAGAAACAGCTTAACTGATTACAGTTTAGTTGGTTACAGAACCTCCTGCAATTAAATAAAACTCAGCTACTATAGTTAAGCTCCATATTAGTTTGGTCTGCTAGGCTTAGTGCAGGAGCCTAGTCCAAATCAATGTCCTCCCACAAATTTTATTTAACACTTTAAGCCCTTGAAGTCATGCCTGCCCTACCCCAAAACTAGACTGAGCTCTTCTTTGAATACCATTATAGGGTTGGTGGAGAGTAAATGAAAAAAGAAAACTAAATTGTAGTATAAAACAATGAAAAGAATACAGGGAAAATCTTGTGTCAAATTTTAGTTCAGAATCAGAAAGGCAGAAATACTCAGTTTAGACTATCTGTTCTCATAACTTGTGGCTCCCTGAGATAAAATACACTTTGCCTGAAGCTTAAGTTGAAAGTGATGGTATTTGTTAAGGGTTGAATTGCTTCCAAAAAACATGTTCATGTCCTATTTCCAGTACCGATCTATGAATATGATCTTATTTGGAAACAGTGTCTTTGCAGGTGATCAAGTTAAGTTGAGGTCATTAGGGTGGGCTCTAATCCATTGTGACTGAATCCTTATAAAAAAGGGAAATTTAGACACAGAGACATTCTCACAGGGAGAAAGCCACGTGAAGACAGGTAGAAATAAGAGTGATAAATTCACACGCCAAGAAATGACAAAGATTGCCGGCAAACCATCAGAAGCCAGGAGAAAGGCATGTGACATATTCTGCCTCACAGCCCCCAAAGAACTAACCCTGCCAACACTTTGATATTGGACTTCTAGCCTCTAAAACTTGGAGACAATAAATTTTTGACAGTTAAGCCAGCCAGTTATGGTATTTTGTTACACAGACCTAGCAAACTAATGTATTTGACAACAGAATTCTAATTTTAAAAGACCCTAATGAGTGCACGTAACTTTCTATTTTGAAGACTGATATTCATCATACGTAAATAACAGATATAAAGCTCATAGAAAAATATTTTTGTAAAATATTATTACCATTTATACTTAACATAGTAACATTCAGACAGTAAATTAAAACATAATAATGAAAAGGAGCACTCACATATTTTGAAGTTAAACTTGCAGCACTTATATTAAAGAAGGTTGCGTTAGATTCTGCAGCTACTGCTTTAGCCTTTAAAAATCACAAAAGCAAACATTATATTAGTTCAAATCTTGCTTTAAAAATATAACCACATTTGATCAATTTAAGTGCTGGAACAGATTCTCTAAAATGCAAAGCATGACATAAATCCCAATCTATGGCAATCACTGTGTTTTCTTCTCAGCAACGAAGAAAGGTTCTAGGAAGAGCTGTACTTCTTTCCTCTCTCTCCTTTTTAAAAAGAGAATGTGTAGAGAAAGGGTAAAAAAAAAAAAAAGAGTGAGTGCTATTTTCTTCTTAGGTATAAAAAAGATAACAGGTTAGAGAAAGACAAACTGCTAAGGGAAAAGTTACTATTTCTCTATTTGTTCTTTCCACCTGGAAGAACTATGCAGAGAAAAGAGGTATCCAGATCTTGGGAAAAACTTTCAGCAAAAGGATACAGGAAAAAAAAATGTGTAATATACTGTTTATTTAAATAAAGCTATTAAGATAACAAAAAAACCCCCAAGGAATAGAAAGATAATATACTAAGGTAAGCTCTTCAAAGGTAAAAATGTTATTATTTAACTTAGAAAAATAATGAAAATTACACTGTTAAATTTTTTTTTACATTGCTAAAATTAACCAACCAAAAACAATACTGAGGATAACATATATGGCTTTCCAACTATTTCTGCATTGAAAATTAGTTTAAAAACTTAAGAGAACTATATCATAGCTAAAGCAAATCATAAATTATAGACTCAGAGACAATGTAAAGTTTCCTTTTTTCATATTATCGCTAGTATCTCAATTATACACTCAAATTTGAAAAGAATTCTTACCAGCATTGTCTTCCCATTTCCAGGTGGACCAAAGAGTAACAATCCTCTAGCAGGAGCCCTAAGTCCTGTGAACAACTTAAAAAATATATACTTTAGCTCACAACTATGATTCTGGAGATAATTTTTTCCAGACATTTTAAGTATTATTTGTCATCTAAAAAACATTTTTCAGTAGCATTCTTCCAAATAAAGCTGCCTAGAGCTTTAAAAAGAACATGTAATCAATGAATTAGTATAATTAAAAATAAAAGAAAAACTAAACAAAGTGAAATAAAGCCAAATCCTCAGTGATCAAAATGAAAGCAGATTGGTTAAACAACACATATTGGGGGGCCAGCCTGTGGCTCACTCGGGAGAGTGTGGTGCTGATAACACCAAGGCCACAGGTTCAGATCCCATATAGGGATGGCCGGTTAGCTCACTGGGTGAGCATGGTGCTGACAACACCAAGTCAAGGGTTAAGATCCCCTTACCGGTCATCTTTATAAGGAAAAAAAAAAAAACAAAAAAAACATATTGAACACAGGCATGCTTCTCTACTTAGAAATCCCACCAAAAGGCACTGGCCAGTTAGCTCACTTGGTTAGAGCGCAGTGCTGATAACACTGAGCACCAAGGTCAAGGGCTTGAATCTCCAAATCAACCACACACATACACACACACACACAAAAAGAAATCTCACACACAAAAATATTAAGTGAATATAAAAGATGTAATCTTCCAAACAAAAAAGGAAAGAAAATAACAGATATAGTGTATGTAATGTATTGTAGGATAGAATACATTTTTGAAAGATGGAGAACTGATAAAGTGTGGTAAATTACTTAGCAGAGCCGAATGAGTTAAAACCTAGGTTTCTGCTTGTAGAAGGAATACCTAGATACAAGAAGAAAGCTGATGAGACCAAAAGAACCTGGGAAAGCTCAGGAAATGGAGGCATCAGGTACCAGAGAAAGCAATAGTAAGGTAGTTGGCCCAAAACAGAGGAAATGATTGAAAGTTAGTATGAAGAACAACTGAACTCATTGGGCAAATACCAATCACAACCAAAGGAGACAGGAGCTTTATTCTTTAAAGAAATAAACCAGAGTCTCCAGAATCGGGGATATTTGGCATGGCAGAAGTCAAGGGTTTGAAGCACCAGACTGAAAATACTTCACTTAATAGTGAAGGTGTACGTATTTTTAAGTTCATATGAAATGGCTGATATTCAACTTTTTTTTTTTTTTCCCTTTTTGTCTTTTTTCGTGTCCGGCAACGGATCGCAACCCTCAGTGTCGCGCCCGTACCGGACCAGGACCGGCAACGGGATCGCAACCCTTGGTGTTGCTCCCGCACCTCGCTCAGCCAGTGAGCGGGACCCGGTCTGTACGCGGGATCCAAACCCTCGGCAGGAGTGCCCTTTTTGTCTTTTTTCGTGTCCGGCAACGGATCGCAACCCTCAGTGTCGCGCCCGTACCGGACCAGGACCGGCAACGGGATCGCAACCCTTGGTGTTGCTCCCGCACCTCGCTCAGCCAGTGAGCGGGACCCGGTCTGTACGCGGGATCCAAACCCTCGGCAGGAGTGCCCTTTTTGTCTTTTTTCGTGTCCGGCAACGGATCGCAACCCTCAGTGTCGCGCCCGTACCGGACCAGGACCGGCAACGGGATCGCAACCCTTGGTGTTGCTCCCGCACCTCGCTCAGCCAGTGAGCGGGACCCGGTCTGTACGCGGGATCCAAACCCTCGGCAGGAGTGCCACCGCACTCCCAAGCGGCGCACTGTAGCAGTGCGTCACCGGGCCAGCCCTCAACTTTTTTTTAATCCTTTATTTTTTTGAGAAAATTGAGCAAAGAATACACGGTTCCCACATAACCCTTTCCCCTGCCCCAATTTCCCCTATGACTAACATCTTGTATTAGTGTGATACATTTGTTACAACTAATAAACCAATACCAACACATTATTATTAACTATAATCCATAGTATACACTAGAATACATTCTTTAAGTTGTACATTTTATGGGTTTTGACAAATGTATGACATCTATCGACGATTTCAGTTCCTTACAGAATAGTTTCACTGCCCTAAAAATCCTGTGATCCACCTCTTCATCCCTCTCTCCCCTCTAATCCTGGTGACCACTGATTTATTACTGTGTCCATAGTACTGCCTTTTCCAGAATGTCATATAATTGGAATTATACCATACATGGTCTTTTCAGATTGGCTTCTTTCATATAGCAATAAGCATTTAAGGTTCCTCCATGTCTTTTCAAGGCTTGATAGCTCATTTCTTTTTATTGCTGAATAATATACATGGATGTACCACAGTCTGTTTATCCATTCACCTCCTGGACATCTTGGTTGCTGTTAAGTTCTGGCAATTATGAATAAAGCTGCTAGAAATATTCATGTGCAGGTTTTATGTGGATATAAGTGTTCAACTTATTTGGGTAAACACCAAGGAGTGCATTTGCTGGATCACATGGTAAGGCTGTACTAATTTTGTAAGAAACTGATGAACTGTCTTCTAAAGTGGTTTTACCATTTTGCACTCTCACCGGCAATAAGTAAGAGTATCCTATTTCTCTACATTCTTGCTAGAATTTGGTGTTGTCAGTGTTTTCGATTTTAGCCATTATAAAAGGGTGCAGTCGTATCTTACTGCTGTTTTAATGTGCAATTTCCCTGATAATGTATGAAGTTGAGCATATTTTCAAATGCTTGTCATCTCTGTATCTTCTCTGGTGAAGTGTCTATTCAGATCATTTGCCTATTTATAAGTTGGGTTTTTTGTTTTCCTATTGTTGAGTTTTAGAAGTTCTTTATTTTGGATACCAGTCCTTCATCAGACACGTTTTGCAAAGATTTTTCTCCAAGTCTGTGGCTTGTCTTCTCATTCTCTTAACAGTGTCTTTCACAGAGTAGATGTTTTTTATTTTAATAAAGTTTAGCTTGTCAATATTTTCTTTCAAGGAGCTTGCTTTGGCGTTGTATCTAAGAAGTCACTGCCAAACCAAAGGTCATCTAGATTTTCTCTTGTGTTATCTTCTAGAACTTTTACAGTTTGCATTTTACATTCAGGTCTATGACCCATTTAAATTAATTTTTATGAAAGGTGTTAGGTCTGTGTCTAGATTCATTTTTTTTTGCATGCATATGTCCAGTTGTTTTGGCAGCATGTGTTGAAAAGGTTACCTTTTCCCCACTGAATTGCCTTTGCTCCTTCATCAAAAATGGGTTGACATATTTGCGAGTCTATTTCTGGGCTTTCTGTCCTGTTCTATTGATCTATTTGTCTATATATTTTTTTGTCACTGACATACTGTCTTGACTTGTATAGCTTTATAGTAAGTCTTGAGTTTGAACAGTTAACAGTCCACTTTGTTCTTCTCCTTCAGTACTGTGTTGGCTATTCTGGGTTATTTGAATTTCCATATAAACTTCAGAATTAAAATAACTGGCTAGAAGGCTGGCCCATGGCTCACTTGGGAGAGTGTGGTGCTGATAACACCAAGGCCACAGGTTCAGATCCCTATATAGGGATGGCCGATTAGCTCACTTGCGACAGTGTAGTGCTGACAACACCAAGTCAAGGGTTAAGATCCCCTTCCTGGTCATCCTCTAAAAACAGAAAACAAACAAACAAACAAACCAGCTAGGTTATGATTGAGATTGCACTGAATATTATTTAGTCTTCTATCCATTTATGTGTAATATCTCTCAATTCACTTAGATCCTCTTTGATCTCTGTCATCAGAGTTTTGTAGTTTTCCTCATATAGATCTTGTACAACACACTTTGTGAGATTTACACCTAAGTATTTCATTTCATTAGTGTTAATGTAAACAATATTGTGTTTTAGTTTCAAATTATTTTTTTGTGTGTGTGTTTTCGCCTTTTTTTTTTT